TTAGATCTTGATTTTTCTGTTTGCTCCCATTAAAAACGAAACTGGTCAGGCATGCTTTCTTTCCAAATGACCCTGTTTTGATATAAATCCCTTTACTTAGTACTGTTTATCTACCCAGCCTGAGTAAATTCCTATTATCACTAACAACAGTGTCTGAGAGTTTAAAACCTAAAACAGGACACACATCCACACTGGAATCCATTCAACTAAAATACAAGAGAACCATGTCTCATGCTTTCTCCATAATGACTAATACATTTCTCCAGCTGCAGTTAAATTGTGCCTCGGTAAAGGCAGAATGAGAAATTATTGGCTGAAATACCTACGAGCATGTTTTTAGCTCAGTTTATCCTAACTGAGAAATTCATATGTTCTTGGAAGAGGCAAATAACCACTGATTTGGCTAATGAGGACTGTCACTTCAACCTCTGCTTATGATAGCAGTAGAGAAAGCATGGCTGAAGTCAAGCAAAGAGTATTTGACTCAGATCTGTTAGCCGACAGAATCAGTTCCTCACATTGCTGCTACTTTACTTTCATTGACACGCTATATGCCACTCCAAAATACCTCTACAATGTCCTTCCTGCCTAACAAGGAAGGGCATTCACCCTGGCAAGAGTTGATATCCTACCTTCGCAAATAATAGAGACGCGATTTAATAATATCCCTTTTCAAAAATGCATTTGCATCTATTCACATTGCATCTTTGTTTCTAAGCTACCCTGTATCATTGTTGGCAATTAGAGTTAATCACCCCACACATTAGCTGATGCTTCAAATGGCTTCCCTCTGAAACTGTGCTCTTTCCACTAAGGGATCAGTCCAGGGTAATCACCACAAAGGTCATAAAATTCAGCAATATTGAAATTAGAAGACAATAAGTTTAACATGGAGCCCAACTGTAGGTTTTTGACTGACCTTTCACAGTAGTCAATTGTGACTTACAATCACAATTGAGCCTCAAAATTCTGTTGTTAAGTGGGACATCTGTTGTGAATTTTGCCCCATTTTACGACATTTCTTGCACAGTGTAACACTGCAGTTGTAAGTTAGTAACCCGATTGTTAAGTGAATATGGTTTCCCCATTGACTTTTCTTGTCAGGAGGTCACAAAAAATGATCACATGACACTGGGACACAGCAATCATCATAAATATGAACCAGTTGCCAAACATCTAAATTATGATCACATGACCATGGGGATGCTACAAAACTTGTAACTGTGAAAAATTGTCATAAGTCACTTTTTTCAGTGCTGGTGTAATGAACAGTCACTAAATGAACTGTTGTAAGTTGTAAGTTGAGGACTACGTGTATGAAGTCAAGCTGGGGTGAAGTATGGTATATAGCCGTGATGGCGAACCTATGGCACGCGTGCTGGAAGTGGCATGCAGAACCATATCTCCTGGCACGTGAGCTGTCAGCCATTGCTCTTCCAGGTTCCAGTGCACCAACCAGCTGGTCTTCACAAACGCATGCGTGCACCGGGAAGATGATCTTCTGGTTTCGGACATGCGCATGCACACTGGCCACCTGGTCTTCCGGTTTTTGGCATGCATCTTCCCGGCATGCACATGTGCATCGGGGGGCTGTTCTTCCGGTTTCCAGCACATGCACATGCACTCCCATTTCAGCACTCAGTGCCAACACTGGTATATAGGTAGTCCTCAGCTTATAATTGGTTGCTCAGTGACTGTTCAAAATTATGATGGACTTCCCCAGAAGTACTAACTACCCAGTTCTGAAGTTCCAAGGTCTGCCCCCCAAGGTCACATGATCACATCTTAGGCACTTGGCAATTGGCCCACACTTACAGCTGTTTGTGCATCCCATGATCATGTGATTGCATTTTATATTTTTGCTGAAAAGTAGCATTTACTACCGTTTTTTGGCAAAACTGCCCTATAGCAAACCACCCCCACAAAAAAGTCATAAATTAAGTCAGTCACATGACTTAATGTGTCACACTTTATGACATCAGGACTTACAGCATAATGGGCAGGCTCCATATATCAAAGGGCTTGTCTTAATATATGTATAAATGACATGAATGGCCAGAAAACATGATTTGCAAATTTGCAGATAATACTTTAAAGCAGGGGTGTCAATCTCGACCACTGAGGACCGGGATCGCAGAATCAGAATTTTGTTTGCCCTTGAGGGGTTGAGGTGGGCATGGCCTGGTTGTTGCAACCGACTGGGTGGACGTGGCTGGGGTGGGCCGGGGCCAGGGTGGCACAGGCTGGTCCCTTGCTGTCTCCGGGACAGCCCCATGGGACAACTCTGGGTCTACCACAGGCCTGATCTGACCCAAGGCCACGTGTTTAACATGTCTGATTAATGGATACTAATAAGGTTCAAGAAAAGTTTGACAAGCTGGAAATTTAGGCCCCAAAATAACAGAATAAATCTCAGTTCAACAGGGACAGTATACAATATCCTAAATTTGTATAAGAAAAATAAAATGCATGGGAATAGAATGAGAGAGATGTAATACTTGGCCATGCAAAAAGGTTCTGGGCATAATATGAGCCAATAGTGTAATGCAGCTGCATAACTAATTAAATGTGATCCTGGCTGAACCTGCAATTCAAGAAGAACATTAAACAGGCAGAACATGTCCAGAGGAAAACAGTCAAAATAATAAGAGGCTAGAGGAGAAATTAATTATATGAATTATCTAATTATCTTAATATCTACAAGAACCTGAGGAAGCATTATGCAGCACCTGGTGCTTTCCAATTGTACTGGACAACTGTACTTGTCTTATTATCACAATTAGTTCTGCTTGGAGACTTTGGAAACTGTAATGTTATAGAATTGGTATAGTGAAGTAGTCCTTGACTTACAACCATTTGTTTAGTGACCATTCAGCACTAAAAAAAGTGACTTATGACCATTTTCACCCTTACGACCATTGTTGCTGCATCCCCATGGTAACGTGATCAAAACTCAGATGCTTGGTAACGGGGATGAATTTATGACAGTTGCAGTGTCCTGGGGTCATGTGATCACTTTTTGCTATCTTCTGACAAGCAAAGTCAATGGGGGCACCAGATTCACTTAACAACTATGTTACTAACTTAACTACTGCAGCAATTCACTTAACAACTGAGGACAGAAAGGTCATAAAATGGGGCAAAACTCACTTTATGCATGTCTTGCTTAGCAATGGAAATTTTGGGCTCAACTGTGGTCATAAATCAATGGAAACAAGGTGTATACTACCTGTATACCCATTTCAGCAGCAAGTCCAATCCCCTATTCAGACCAAAAACTCAAATTAAGGTAACCCAGAGAAATAGCTCAATAGACTCTGCTTGAATATATCTAGTAGAGATCACCACCCTACTGATTTACTGGTTCCATGGTCAAACTACTGTAGTCTTAGCTGTGTTCAACATATCTGACAGGAGTACCAAGCTCAGGAGATCAATTCCTAAGGTGACAATCTGGTGGTAGCCTTTCATTAGAAGAAAAAAGGCTCATTGGCATTTCCAAATGATAGAAATACAATTTTTCGAGTTTGCCTTGGGAATCTGAAACCTATTTGTCCAATAAACGAAGCCAAGTTGTCAATAAATCTTTAAAGATAAATGTTAAAATTATCCCAGAACGCTTACCAATTTTAGTTATTCTCAAAAAGCCGGAAGGTGTCAAAGATAATTTATTATCTCCTTTTCTACAGAAGAGCTGTGTGAAATGCATAACTTGAGCTTTCATAATCCCTGTACAACTCAACAATCTGCTTGCAACAAAATTCTTCATTAACAATCTGATTAAAAGTATGCTAGCGCAATGTTGTCACTCTGTATGATTCATTTAATCTTGAAATCTGTCCATGACAAGGTTTGGGGATTTACATTAGTCGCATCCTGTGTTGCTGGGAAATGCTGTTTCGTACATGCAATACTGCAAGCCTGAACTAGATTATTCAGCCTTTCTGCTGTCTTTCCCACAATATATATATATAGCAGTGACCCGGGTGAAACGAAATACTGGTTACTTTCACCGGCCAGGTTCCTCTCCCTTTGCTACGTGTAAATCGGAGAGTGTGGGAAGTTGCTGTGCACACGTGCTCCGAAGTTTTAACGTCAAAAAGAAGCGGTGGCTTCTACAACTGTCACAATCCTTTGGCTGGGTTCTTCTAAGGGCAGCAGCCATCAACAGTAACCATTAACCGGAAGGAGGGAATGGGGGAAACCAGAACTGTTTCGCAAACCAAACCAACCAGGTGGTGAGAAAGCGGCACCCAGAAAGGTCTTCGCCATATTCCGAAGCAGGGCGAACGCCGGAGTCACATTCAACAACCCCCACCTCTCCCCCCCACACACATACACAAACACACGCATACACCCGCCAGCCTGCTGTCACTTCTGCCACCGCACATTCGGAGCAGCAGGACTCCTGAAGCGAAGCGTATGGGAAGCATCAGGCGTTAAAAGAAGTAGCCAATCCCAGAGCTCAGCACCCCTACGCCTGTCGAAATAATTGGGTTCGCTCGGGGGAACGGGGAGGGAGGGGAGAGGAGAGGAGAGGAGAGGACGTGTGGTGGCACACTCCAGCCAAACAAACCCAAAAGCCTCAGCTTCGTGGCGCAGTCAGTGGATAGGACGGAGGGCCAAAGTCTCACCAGCCCCCGGGGGTGTGGGGAGGGGGGCAGCGGGGGAGGGGTATATGGGGGGGAGGCAGCTTCTCTCCCTTCCGCTCCTATTTTTTTTTTTTTAAAAGAGCCATACTCTACCGTCCTTGGAGCCCCAAAGACAACCCAGCTCCCCCCGGGGGGGCTTCAGGACACGGCCAAGCAGAAACGGGGAAAGGAACTCCAAAACCGCCACGGAGCAAAAAGCGCGGGGTTATCGGCTAGCTTTCCCCCCCCCCCTTTTGGACTCGGAAGGAGGCGAAAGGCCGGGAGAGAAAAGCGAGGGGTTCAGCAATTGGAGCGGGAACAGCGCCGCCGAGGGCGAGAGCAGCAAAAGAAGGGAGAACCGACACTCACCGGCGCCCAGAGTGCCCAGCAGCACCCACCACACGCATAACATCCACATGTCCAGGCTGGCGCAAGGGAGGGCAATCCGCTTTCTTGCCACGACGATTCTCTCGCAGGCCAAGGGAAAGACTTGTAGCGGGGGGAGGAAGAGGAGGAGATCAGGATCGCGGAGCCGGAGCCGCCCAGCCCGCAGCCTGTCAAGCTTCGACGGTTCCCTCCAGCCGCAGCAAGCGGGGCGGAGCCACACCCGGCTTTCGCTTTCGCTCTCCGCCGCAGGAGGGGAGACGAAGGCGTAGGTGGAAGAACGGCCCCCTCCGTAACCGGCTGCCGGACTGATGCTGCGCGCTACAACTTGAGAGCAGGTGGGCTTTCTTTCGTGAAGAGCCGGAGAAAGACCTGCAGGTTCTCCCCCTTTTCCAGCTTGGTCCGCGGTAAACCCAGGGAGGAGCTACGGCGGTCCTCGAGAATCGCCGCAGCCCTTTAGAAGACCTTGAAATCGCCCACCGAAAGTTTCCAACCTGGCGAGGCGACGTTTTCGGCTGCTCCCGTGTCTTCTAGCGACGCAGGAATTGCGCAGACTTGGAAATGAACGCCGGGCTCTTGGCGTGACAAAGGAGGAACTCTGCGTCATAGTGAAGCTTGCGATCGTCAGGGAAAGCCGACGCCGCCAAAGAGAACTCTTCGCCCATCTTATGTTCTGTACAGTATGTGCAAGTCTGAGATGGCGCAGCAAACTGGCCCTGAGGCTCCGGCGGAGCCCGAAGCAAAAACTCCCAGTGAAATCTTTACAGCGCTCTTCCATGAGTGTTTCCTCTCAGCCTTAAAATAAGGCGGTGTTATGAAGTAAAGTCTTTGCAGCCTTTAAACACGCACAGTTGCAGGAAAAGCAGTAGCTATAAATAAGACATATATGAGTTTCCTGGTCTCATCTGAGGTTTCTACACCGGGGAATTTAAATAGGAGATTTTTTATTTTTATTTTTTTTTTGCTGGTGTCTTTTCAGTCCCCCTGTCCTCACTGTGCTGGTGCCTATTATTTTTCATAAAGTGTAAATGCATCATGCTTTAGGAACATTTGAAATTAAACCCATATAATCATGATAGAAGCTGGCGTTTTAAATTCAACTATAAATCACATTAGATGAATCTCAAGTAAATTAATTTAGAATAACTGAAATAAATATGGCCTTTCTACAGCCTTTTCAATATGCTGCTATATAATAAATAACATGCTGTCATCATATTAGGACTTACACTCAGACATGTGGAGAGAATTGGCCATCTTTCAGACAATCGTTCTTGATGTTTCCTTCATCAAGAGTGATTATTAGTGGCAATGTTAATAATAAGCCAAAGGGGTTTTTCAGCAACTGCACGTTGAAATCATAGCATATAAATAAAGACAAATTAAGTAATCCAGTTTCAACAGAATCTAGAGGCAACCTTATCTTCTTTTTAACCCAGAATATCCTGGTTTTTTTTAAATATCTTTTTTGTTTGAAGAACACTAGGTAAATATGGGAAATCATTTCTTCTCTAAATTCTCCAGACTGGAATATTTTTTGGTGGCTTTGGAGAAATTCAGGATTAATAGGCAATATCTCAAAGATGTATCAAATTGTATCTTTGTTTAAACAATGAGTGTCACAGGTGCATATATTTGGATATCCTTTCAGTCATGACTTAGTAATAACTCCTTTGCCAGAAAAAAAACATCTGAGCATTCCTGTAGACAACTGACAGCCTATTTTTGCTTTAAATTTTTTTTCCTCTACTTTTCCTTGCAGAACTCTTCTAACTTGGAAATATTCTTACGTCTCTTTACATAAACTTTGTTTCAGAACTCCACGCAAATTTTCACACAATCCAAGTCTGGGGATTGTGAATGTTATTCCACGACATCATATTTCCTTCATGAAATTACTTCATGGTTAAATTGAAGATATATTTCAGATCATTGTCTTGCTGAAATATCCAATCTACTTTCAGCTTCATTTTTTTTTCATTGATTGTGGGACTCTTCCCTAATTTTGGAATTTAATTGTCTTATCTCAGGACAGGGACAAATATTTAATTGAAAACTGATGCCTAATATGATAGTAAGTTTATTTATTAATGGCATTCATATCTCACACTTTTTTCTAGGAACTCATATTAACATATGTGTTTCTCTTCCCCTTTTACATTTTCAAAAAGTAATATGAATAATTTGCAAATGAACTAGACCAGACCTATTTTTATGTTCAAATAATGCCACACTGTCTTGTAAATAGCTTCCTTATACTAGAGGGATATTTTTTTTACACCTGGGAACAATCTATTTATTCATGCAATTTAGTTACCGCCTTAATCCTTATGGACTCTAGGCAGTTAAATATTAAAATATTAAGAATAAAATGCATTTAAATTTTTCAATAATAAATTATAACAAGAAATAATAAACATTCATGCATGCATGCACTAAGTCACACACAAAGAATAAATTGTGGCTTTATTGTCAGTTCCCAAAGGCATTCTGGAAAAGCCAGGGTTTTACTAGCTGCCAGAATGCCATAAGGATGGGGGTTGATAGTCACCTAAGGGGGCAAGCTGTTCCATAGGAAGAAATCTGCCCTTGAGAACACCTGATGTTGTCATCTTCTCTTGCCATATCTCCTAATAGATGAAAACTTTTAGTAGAGGCTATTGGGCCATGTGGTTCAATAGTTCTGAAACTATTTTATAAAGGGAATGTCTTGGATACCCTGGTCCCAAGCAATATAGGCCTTTAAAAGTAGCAACCAGCACCTTCAATTGCACTCATAAACATGCTATCAAGTAGTGCAGCTTCTAGAGCAATTTACAATAATCTAAACAGGAGATAACAAAGACATGAATGGCTGTGTTCAGAGCCTAGGTTTTGTTTTGTTTTTTTATCTCACAAGATGCTTCTGCATCAAAGAATGTACTGTGAGCAAGGTCAATTGAAGATGATAGAAGTAAGGTGTGTACATTGATAAGACAGAACACAATATAATTAAGGATAATAAATTTGCTAAATAAATCCTAAATACAGCATCAAACATTTGAATTTAGGAGGACTTTATCAAATTGAGAAACCAGTGTGTTCCTATCCATTAGCAATTTGCTCTGTTTTTTAATTAAAATAAAGTTTGTTAAAACACCTGGCCAAAAATATTGACTTAATTTTCTTCCCCAATAAATTAGGCTGGGTAAATGTTGTGTAAATAAATCTATAGCTTCAGACAAAAATCTGTGACTTCTTCTGTGAATTTTTTTTTATAGTCTAAGCTTTTGTGACCAGTAGTCTACTTAATTGCATTCATGAAGAGCAGTTTTCTCTAGCTAAGGATAATCATGCATTTGTTGAAGTTGCAGTATTTACAAAAGCTTATGCAACAAAATATTTTCTGTCTATAAGCTGCCATTTTTAATTATTGCCACAACAAACCATTACGTTTGGAAATAAGATAAAATAAGTACCGTTTCATTGTTTTTCTGCTTGAAGAAGGTTAAGTGGGAATATTCACATAAGTGTTTGAGTTCTGCTGGCAGCCTGGCGCATTTGCAAAAGTGGGCTATGTGTTGTGACTGAAAATTAAGTCCAGTGGAGCTTTCTGATGTATAGAAGTGTACCTAAGTGAGATAAATGTAAATATATTCCAGCAAAGATGTGCATAAAGGAATAAGACGATAAAACTATAGCTGTTAGTTTTTTAAAAAAATCTTCCTAAAAGCAACAATTAATTGCTAAGGAAGCAAGATTGACTATGTTCAGTGAGAGAAGAGAATATTTTATCTACTTGAAAGGACTTCTTTGTTCTAGAAATAAAGACTAGTTTCAGGGTTGAGTCCAGCCTGATGTGTTAGAACTCATTTTCAATATAACTCTTAGCATACAATTTGATGATGATGTGTGTATGTGTGTGTATGTATCTGTCTGTGAAGGAATATTCTATTCTCTCTTCCCATCTAGTAAATGCTTTGAATCCTTCTGCACCTTGACCCTAGACAAAATATACTTTCTACCTGAAAAGCCATAACACAGTCAGAAATCTGCCAGTAATCAGGATTTCCTATAGCATTTCAATTCAGCTGGCTGTGGAAAAGAAATCAAATAGAAAGGGTAAAGCTTTCAGAAGGGTGGAGGCAGATACAATACCCAGCTAGTCTCCTCTCTGCAGAGGGAGTCAAAAGGCACTCATTTATAGCCAACAGAAACCTAACTGAAGCTCAGGGAATATACAAAGGGAGAAATTCTTGATTCAGTTCTCTAGATAATAACTGAATAGACTGAAACACAGGCTGGCTTCTTTCTGGCAATACTGGCCTTGCATTCAGGTGCACAGTGTCTGAATGTGCAATGACTGTGCAATGCTACCTCTGCGCTGCTGAGTCCAGATCGCTGCAGCTGCAGCACACCCACTCATCTTTTGGCTGCCAAGGCAGCTCTCCGAGTACACCCACTCCCGGCTGCCTAATACACCCACACTCTGCTAGAAGCAGCCATGGCACGCACACACAACCAGTTACTGATGCTGCCTCTCAAGAGGGTGTGCTGCGTAGGAAAGCAGATGTGTAACATACATGCTGAGTTCTCTGCAAAAGGAGGAGGGGGGTGAAGCTGTATTGTGACAGCTACTATGGAAAGATGGTATTAACAGCAGCATTTGTTCTATATAATTCTGAAGTTGGTTACTGATTTCCATCTGGTTGTTGTGAAACTCTGAAACACAGCTCAGTCAATCCAATGAATATAGACCTAAACTTAAAAGGAATGCGTAATCACACCATCTGATAATTACACTCAACATTTTGACAGTGGAGCTTTGGACAATTGCAAAGCTCCATTACTAGCTTTGGACAACTGCACATACATGTCTAAAATTTCCTTTGCACATAGAGCAATATCAATCAATGTGTGACAGATCATGTTGGCAAAGATAACTGGAAAAAAATGAGGAATCTCTGCACCATGGAGAGTCATGGTAGTTACCTACCTATCTAGGAATCAGTTTTTAACATGATAAAACTAAAACATGTCCAAAGCTTTGCATACACCATCAAATATGCATGACAAACCTATTTCCTCTGTATGCACTATTGCAGATAATATGTTCACATATCCATGAGAATATTGGTAGTGTGCTCAGAAGTAGAAAAATTCAACACTATCCACCATAGAAGAATGGTTGGTGAGGATGATGAAATTTGCAGAGATGGCTAAATTGATTTTCTTGGTTAAAGGGGGGGGGGATCTATAAATCCTATATTGCATAAACTTTTGCATGAAAGAGAAAAAAATGCACATAGATTTGCACTTTTGATAATTGGGAAAAAATGGCTAACAGAAGATAGTAAGCTTTTTTATAGTCAAAACAGTAAGTCATAACTTTGTAGTTATGTTTGCTGCAAAAGAAATTAGAAGTTTTGTCTTTGTTTCTCCTTTCTGTACTTTTTTTTCATTTCTTTGTTTTATTTTGTATTAGGTTATGTTAGTTTTCATGTTCAGATATATAGTTATCCATTTAACCATTTTCTTATACCAAATTGGAACAAGCATGCAGATCTACTAGTTTTACCCATTGCTTAATTGTGAAGTCTCTCGCCCTACCAGTTAGAAGTGAAAAAGTCTTCACAATTCAGCAATAAGTAAACCTGGTAGATCTGCATGCTTGTTCCCACCTGCTATCAGAAAATGGATAAAGCGGGTTCCCTCTATTTCTCTATTTCTCTCTCTCCCCCTCACATATACAGTTTATTACAATCCAGAATCATCCAG